GGTAGTCTTAAGAGGTATTGCTAAGAGGATAGATTTTATGTGTTCTCAGCACAAAAACATGTTAAGTATGTGAGGTAACGCATATGCTAATTTGATCAATTTAGCCATTTCACAGTGTATGCATATTTCAAAACATCATGTTATACATGATAAATATGTATACTTTTTATTTGTCAATTTAAAAAATTGTTTAAAAAAATTTCAGATCTGGGAAAGACAGTCCTCCCATTTCTTATAATATGACCTGTCACCAGGTGGGAAGGGTGACCTGGACCCTGCTGTAGAGTAGTCACTTATCTCAAACCCAGGAGAGCCCCTGCTGCTGGGGACCCCATTGTTAGCAGCCTACACCTCTACTGCCACCTCCTGAATCAAAGAGCAGCTCTTCAGGGTGTTGGGCAGGGGCTGGGGGGTGGGGTGTGGAGGTGACTCTAGGTAGCCTGGCTTTAGGGCAGCTGTGAGCAGCAAAGCCTGCAGGCAAGAGAAAAGGCAAGTGATCAGTGGCCGGGGTTTCTCTCAGAGAGCGCAAGTGAAATACATCGGTGCTGTGTAAAATGTACCCTTTCCTCGCAGCTTCCCTCTTGAGTGTCTTCCTGCTCTGATTCAAGGTCCTCCTGTCACTCATGACCTAGTGAGATGGACACCAAGGGACATTTATCAATATTGCACAATACGCATTACTGTTGAAGTGACATGCCTGTAGGTCTAAGTCAGTGCTGCTTAAATGCTTTGGTACTACTGAGGACCCTAAAGAAGTTTTATTTATGTGAGTTAGATCTATCAATGTTTATTACTTTAGAAATTAAGACAAAAAGTCAACTATTTGTGTTAATCCATTTAAAAATAACAATAAATTGACGAAATATTAACATGGATAGCATTTTATGCAAAATAACGGTATTTGCCAAGTTTTTTTTAAAAGTGAGAATTATGGCATCATTTTATGTTTTGGCAAAACTGTTTAAAGTCTGACTTGACAGAAGACAGCTGGATTTCCATACCTGCTCTGACTTCAATTAGTTCTGATATCACACATCAGGGAGCTTCTGAAAAACTCCAGTGCACGTCATGAGACAATGAGAATGAGAAAGTCAGATAAAATCTTAATATTACTATGAAATTATAATTGACCTTACAGATCCCCCAAAAGGTCTCGGGGAAGCCCAGGGGTCCCCAGATGGTACACTGAATTTCTAGACATAGCATCTGTGAAGCATTGGCAATCAGATGACCACTGGATGCCAGAATGGCAGATAATCTTATAATGATATTTAATAAGATATAGTAATTTTCAAAAGTGTTTAAAAATCATCTTTATTTAGACAAGTTTGATTTAAATTTGATAATTTATTTAACATTTTTAAAAGATATATTTAATAATATCTATTTGTCTTATTTTATTGAAAAGCTCGAGGCTTGCTTTGTAACTTGCAAATGTTTAATCATATGGTTTGTAGCCCTTCCTTATCATTCCTGCTCTGTTCTAGGTCCAGTAAGTGGGAGGATTTGAGGTGGCTGTGGACACTGATCACCAGGAAAGAGACATACCTATGGGGGCTGCAAGCAGCTTTATGGAAGGCAGCTCTGGCCCTTCAGCCAGCTCCTGTCATCTTGCTAGCACCACAGGGAAGGAAGTCTCCAGCCTACTGGCGAAGGCAGCTGGAAGGAGTGATGGTCTGACCATCAGGCACCATGTCTAGAAGGGCTGGGGTGACTCATGCAAACATCCTCAGGAAGCAGGAGGTGTAGTCTGAGCTGACCACGACATTGCTCCTGCTGGAAATCAGTGTCCGTCCCTCTAGCAGTAGAAATCAAACTGGTAACTAAATAGCTACAGGACCACAGTGTGTATAAGGCAGGGTGCAGCGGAAGTCACAGTGCTTTACAACGGCTGGAAGAGAAGGCTGCACTAGGCTGGATAAGGAGGAACTCAAGGCTCACAGAGGGGTGTCATGCATGATGGCCCTGAAGAATGGACAGTCACTGCACATGCAGGATGGTGTGAGAATAAAATTCCAGAGGCAGAGCTGGAAAAGGCTCTGCAAGCAGGCTGGCCATCTGCTGTGGGGCATCAGTGGGACAGAAAACAGAGAGGACAAGGAGCCGAGGTGGTAATGGGGGCTGCGGGCTTGAAAGAGCTTGTGTTTGGAGTCAGGTCAGTCTCTCCACTTGCTACTGCTATGATCTTGCACAGTTTCTGAATAAGAGGTTTTCGCCTGTAACTGGGGAACGATCACATCTCCCTGATAAGGTTGTTTGAAAGTCAGGCTAGTGTATGTGCAAAGCGTGGTATGCAGCAGGTGTCTAGTCGGTGTCAGCTACTGTTGGACACAGGCTGTGGAGAGCCGGGGCTAACCAGCCAGGGCGCTTAGGTGTTCAGCTGAAGCTGTCTGCAGGGGAGGGTCAAGGCATGGGAGAGACATCGCTCTCCACTACAGGCCTCAGCAGGTGGCAAGTGGGGGCTGCAGACCTGCTGTGCAAAAGGAGAAACAAAATCTATTCCAGCATGAGAGAAGAGAGTCAGGGATCATCTCCACTCCATGCCCTTGCCCTGGGACCCAGAATCCTAAGCCATCAACAATTTTAAATGCTGATTTTCAGGGAAGAGACTGAACCTCAAACAAAATGGGGAAAATGCATAGAAGCCTCAGCCAAATGCTGAGGTTAAATTTCAGCCTTCCCCTGATGGAAGACTTGCCCCAACGAGACTCCCCTCTCTTAACCACCTTCTCCCTGTTCCTCAAACCCTTTTATTCATAGCGAGCAAGTGTGTTATTTTCCACATAAGGAAAATAGCCGGCTGGGTTGTTTTCTTCAAGACTTTGGCAGTATCTTGAGGTCTCAGTGTGTTCATTCTCTTTCTGACAGTAAAGTCCTTACGTGAAGTAAAATGATGACCAATTTTAGACACCAGAGAGGGGCTGCTGGTTCTCACTCTACTGGAATTATCAGTTATTCATCCTTCTCCCCAAATCTGCTAAGTGTGCTATTGTACTACCTGTTTAAATTTGTAAAACTTGTCTCCTGTAGTTCTGCTCACTGGGAACTATAATTCATCAAATGAAACAGAAACTGGTAAAACTTCACTCATGTCCCAGCAGCCTGGGCTTGAGGTTACGTGAGTTCCAGTGCTGTTCTGTAGTTAACCAGCTGTGTGACTCTGGTCATGGTAATCACCCTTTTGGGGGGTCTCCCTATTCCTAAAATGGATTCAGACTAAGTCCACAAGGTCCTGCCCATGCCCGACAGTGGTCATGCGTGTTCAGTCGGAGAGCTAGGACTCTACCCTGGGTCTCTGGACTCCTGGGCAATGCTATTTCCACAGGGACCCTGGGCTCTGTGGCCACTGGTGTGGGCTAGAGGAAGTGCTCTCTCCTTGGGACATCTGACTCCTCTGGGAAGGGGTGATAAGGATTCCCAGTCGTGACCAGCATCTGGGACAACACTTGTGGCAGGATCCAGAGTCCCTGCACTCTGTGCTCAGCCCACCCCCACCTCACTCTGGTCTTCTTTCCTGCACCCCAGGTGGGCTGTACAGACCCCAGTGGAGGGAGCTCCTGATGACCTTTGGCCAAGGGAAGATGCCCAGTGACCATCTGCTGTGATTGCTCAGAGCTGCCGGGCTCACATGTGGGACAGCACAGACATACTCCTGTCCTCAGGCCACAAACAGCTTATAGAGACAGTCGAGGAGACCTGCACACCCCAATAAATGTGTACTTACAAATTACAAGAAGCTGTGAAGGAAAAACCCCAGGTATGACAAGAGGATCAAGATGGGAGATAATTTGAAGAAGGTGGCAGAGAAGGCCTTTGCGGAGGCGACATGTCAGCTGAGATCTCAGAAGAAATGAACCAGGGGATGGGGGCGCTTTTCTGGGCAGAAGCACAGCATCTGCAAAGCCCAGTGAGCCCGCAGCACCGTGAACAGGAAAGAGTGGATGGAGCAGGCCATGCAGACCGCCTAAGGGCCACGGGAAACCTTTGAAACAGGATCCCATGGAAGGTCAGGGGCTCTGGCTTATGAACACTTTATTTAAAATGCTTGTTTTCACTTAAATGAAACTGTGAGATAACATCTTCCACTCCTTCAAAAAAGGACACAAAGTAGCATTTTGCTTCAGGTATCTATGAAAATGTCCCTTCTGGAACTTTTCTCCTTATACATGAGATAGTAACTAGAAAAATAAAAAAGCAGCAGTGCAAGAGCCTAACACTGTGCTTTGTTGACTATTTGTTCCCAATGAGTTCGCACAAATAAAACACAGTCAGTTCATTATGGCAGAGTCCCCACAACGGGAAGAAGACGCACTTACAGAAAACAGGTCGAGTCTGAGCTATATGGGTATGAACGTGATGTAGATACAGCTGACAGCAGTGAAAACGTGTGTCTGCACACGTGTGTCCTGATGCTGTCGCGTGCCCACTGAGCGCTGGGCCCTGTGCCACGGAGGCACAGCACTTAAACCCCGGTGGGGCAGAGGCCACGCACGAGGCAAGTGTGTAAATCAGAGACGACATTAGCAACAGTGAAAAGTGCAGGAACGGCAGAGAGGGAGTGGGGTGGCTGCAATGCTATACTGGGGCCCAGGGAGGACTTCCCAGGGGTGACAGAGGAGGCGGAGCGGGAGTGACCAGCTGGACGGCAGAGGACAGAGGTGGGACCGAGCAGGGGGACGGGGAGGAGAGGCTGGACAGCCGTGCACGGGCTCCGGGAGCCATGCGAGGCCCTGCCCGTCCCAGAGGCGGCCCGGGGAGCCCTGCCGGTGGGTGTGCAGAGAAGGGCGGGCGTGTGGGGACAGGCGGGGAGGAGCCATCTGGTCCTGGATCTCCTTCTGAGGGCAGCGTTTGGGGTGTGGGGTGCGGGGCAAGGACGTGCCCGGGGGCGCTGCGCAGGTGTGGGCCTGAGACGCGGGAAGGAAGGAAGGAAGGATGAGGGAGGCCGGTGCCCGCAGCCCGGGGGTCCGTCCAGCCGAGGACCTCGGCGGCGCAGATGTCACGTCCCGATGGTGGCCGAGACCATGGGCCGAGGGGGGATGAGGCACTGTGGACGACCCAGGGTGACATCTGAACATAGACCAAGGGACAGTCCAAGGCGGAGGTCTCTGTGCAGGAGCTGGAGGACGCCGGGGGACAGCGCCAGGGGACAGCAGGCCAGGGACGGGGGGACGCGGCGAGAGCGGCAGGCCATCGTCACCCGAGCAGGGGACTGTGAAGGAGGGGACGCATCTATTATAAAACCTGTCCCACGGCACGTGGAGAAAGAAGAGGAGCAGGACTAGACAGAAAAGAGCCCGAGCACCCCGAAAACCCCAGAAAAACCCCAGCCGACGCCTCCAGCCGACGCCGAGAAGATCTGCTGAATATTTTCCGAGTACGGATGTGATCTGCAGAGCTGGGAGCCGGACGTGAGCGTTTCCGCCGCGGGCCCTTATCTGTGAGGGACGGTCACCGTGCACCCAGCGTGGTGCAGGCAGCAGATCCCACTCCAGGACAAGCGGAGCCCGGAAAACAGGGACGCCGGAGCGTGTGCCGACTGCAGAATCCGCTCCCAGAGAGACAGCAGAGCCGAGCTAATTTTGTGCACTCTATAAAAACCCCAATGGGCTGCAGTATGAGCTCCAGCTTCTAACATAGAATAGGCCAGGGGACAAGGGACACTGCGCTTGGCTTAAGGCACTTAGCCGTGCAAAAGTAAACAGTACAATCGAATAAATAAAACTCATGCTATCAGGCTCAGTAATAATCATCATGACATAAAGACGATGGCATTCCACATCACAGAGCAGAGGAAAGGGCCAGTTATCACAACTTTTAAAAGTAATTAAAATGTAAATGTCTATCTACATTTTATTTTGAATAGCACCTTATAACTTATAATTAAAAAAAAAATTAATCTCTACTTAAATTCTACAAACCACTATGTGAGACATTGCTATATTTTTCAATCAATGACAAACTGGGGGCAGCCTCACTGGGGGTCTCTAGTCCCTTGATGGACTGAAAGGGATTCTCGGGGGAGTTTATGAGTCTTGCCAGCAGAAATCAATGTCACCAGCCTTTTGATGACCCTAAAGAACAGGCCTATGCGTGGCTTTTATGTAATGGGATTTTCCCCATTTCTGATATCCCTTACACAGCCAAGAAAATAGATAATAGATAAAAGGGTCACTGCTTTCCACTGGGCCTTCAACAACAGAAAGTAGGCCTGGGCCCTTTGACAAAGGGCACGATCAATTCTTTAAACCGTATGACTTTCCCCCTGCCTCTGCCTCCTCCCAGCACCAGTACTGAATGCCATCCCCTATAACAGATCTCAACTTGGGAAACAATTTTAATGACAAAAATCTAGTAAGAAAATTCAGGAAGAGCTGTCACCGTAAATTATCTTAAGTCACCGGAGGATGTGGATCAGTTAGCAGGATATTGGCAAAAACTCTACAAAGCATTTGGTTGAATAAGCCCACAACCACCTCTCCAGTAACAAAGGCTGTATCTGTGGCAGGTGTGTGTGTGCAGCACCTGTGTGTGCCTAACACAGACTATGTGGTGAGCGGGTGGCAGAGAGGACCGTGTGGATGAATCAGTGACCAGGCGGCGCGGCAGGTCTATCATTTGGATGGATGATTCCTGCATCTGCATCACTCCCCAACCCTTACCTTTCCAAAACTTGACACCATTTCTTCTACATTCACACTTTTGATAATAAAAACAATGTTTCCTAATTATAAATAGCTTATAAAATTTTTAAAAAGCATCCAGAGGAAAACAAAAATCACTTCAAGCCCCATCACACCAATATAAGCACTATTAATATATCGGAGATTTCCTTCCCATCTATTTTCAGTATTTGCATATGTACTTCTCAGTCAACAAATACTATGCTGCATATACCATTAATACTGTGCTTTACTTATGTCACATTAAGTTATTAGCAATTTTTATTTTGTTAAATATTCTTAAGAGGTTTGTTTTATAAAGGCTACACATTATTCCATATGAAAGTGTTACTAAATAGTATTTTTAGTCATCTTTTTGTTGGATTCTGTAAGATATTTCTTATTTTTACTATTATACTGATAATGATGCAAATAAACATCTTTACAGCTTATTCCTTGTACCAATTTCTGAGTATCCTGTCACGTTAGTCTCTGAGGATCCCGAGGGCTCAGGAGCAGGATCGCGCTCTGTGTGACTGCTGCGGAGCCCATGGGTGTGCCCACCCACCCTCTGTGCTGGTTCACGCTGCGTCTCGGTGCACCTCCACAGCACTGGCTGGTGCCCTTTTAAAAGTTTTTAACTTGATAAGCACGATGGCACAGTATTTTCACTAGTGTGTGCTTTGTTTTCTAGAATGAGTAAATATTTTCTCATTGACTGAATAATTTTTCCATGTCCTCATGTGTGATTCATCAATGACAGTGGCAGCTCCATGGCAGGTGCTCAATAAATGTGTATCCAGTGAAAGAATAGTAAATGGAGAGATGGTTCATGTCTTTTCTATTTTTGCAATAAGGTCTTGCTATTTTTTTTTTATTATTGTAAAAGCATATTTTACCACCTTTGCTATATATTAAGGGCAGCCACACTTTTCCGTAAATATGGCAAAATTTCCCAGTATATGCTTGTCTTTTTATTTTGTTTATGGTGTTATTTTAACTTATAGAAAGTTCAACATTTTATATCATCAAATATCTGTATTTCTTTTCCAGTGGTATCACTCTGTTATTTTATGCTTAGAAGATTTCTATCTCCAACTAAAGTTATACTCATCCATATTTTCTTTTGACTTTTTATAATTTCATATTTCACTCAAATCTTTCAGGGACTGATCTATGGCTAAAGAGGAAATTATATCGTAGGTTTTTTCAAAGTAGTTCACTGATAGTATTAATAGTATTTATTGTGTCATATATTCACTACTCAAAATTTTTTATTTCAATTTCATATTTACTAAATTTATATTAGGGTCAATTTATGTTCTGTTTATATGGTTCCACTAATCTTTCGTTATATTGCTGCACTACCTGCACACCACCTCAATTACTTTTTAACACGTGTTAATGTTAAACTAAACATCCACATCTCTTTCCCCAAGGTGTCTTAGGTTGTCCCGTCCATTCTTCTAGATAATTTCTAGAAGTGTGGAATGAAATACATATACACACAACACATAAAATTATGTTTATATAAATCTATCTCCTTAGAATGTTTAGATTTGCATTCAACCTGTATATTAATTTGTGAAGAACTAAAGTTATGTAACGTTCAGTATTTTCATCCAGCCACGTGATATATCTCTCAATTTATTCCAATCTTTTAAATCTCTCAGGGAAATTTTCCATTTTTCTTCACAGAGTTTCCACATACTTATTTTTGAAGTTATCTTTAGGTACTTTGTAAGTAAGATTTTCTTTTCTTTACATTTTCAAATTTTATATCATTGGTTTACATGAAATCTATTGATACATTTATTTTGTGACTTGCCACACTATTTACCTCTTTTTAAAAAAATTCTAATAATATTTCAGTTGAATCACTGCAGTTCTTTAAGTTCAATAATTGGGCATCTGCAAATGTTATACTGATTTCTTTTAATGTCTATGCTTCTTTCAATAGAGTTTCAGCCAGCCTCCAAAGGTGGCTCTCGATGGTCCTTGCCTCCCCTTGTTCACACCTTCATGACGTGGCCTTCCATGCTAAATCAGGGCTGGTTTCCAGGATCAAGGAAATATTGCAGGAATAACAGTGTGTGGATTCTCAGGCTGTCACAAAGGTAGTGCAGCTTCCAGCCTGGTCTCCTGGCTTCCTCATCCTGGGGGAAGGTAGCTGATATGCTGGGGGGATACACATACAGTCCTATGGAGAGGCCCCCGTGTTGGCTTATGCCTTCATCTGCCAGCTCCCCTGCCTTGCCAGTGCACTTGTGAGCCATGTTGGGTGGAACCTCCTACTCTGGTGAAGCCTTCAGATGATGGCAGCCCCAGATGACATCTGACTTGCAACATCCTGAGAGTTTCCAAGCCCCAACCCACCAACCAAGATGCTGCTGAATCACTGACTCACAGAAACCATGAAAGATTATTAAATAATGTTTGTTTTGACTCACTGAATTTTGGAAGTGATTTATTATGCAGCAATAAGTAATTAGTATAAATTTAAAAGAACATAAGTGAAAAAAATAGCCAACAATTATTGAGTACTTAATAGTTCTAGTAACAGTGCTATGTATTTTACATACATTATTTTATGTGACGCTTACAAAAACCCTAATGCAGATGTTCTCATTTCAGAGATGAAGATATGGAAGCTGAGAAATATAAGTTAAAGCAAGGTTTCTCACCTTTTTTTTTTTTTACATTTTGAACCAGATAATTGTTGTGGGGCTGTCCTGTGCATTGTAGGATTCCTAGCATCTACACATCAGATTCCAATAGCAGCCACTCAATAATGAAAATCAAAAAAAATCTCTAGACATTGCCAATTGTCCTTTTGAAGGCAACCCCACCCATTGCCCCACAGCTGATAACTGGTTGTATGTTATGAGATAGGCTGAACTTTTGATGCAGTTAAAAGAGCTCTAGGAGACAGCAGGAGCCCACAGGAACCTCAGGAGCTGTGTGCAGCACCCACTACTGCTGCAGACACTGCTTCAGTATGGGTGGTCCGCCACAGCCATCACCACAGCCACTGCTACTGCAAGGGCAGCTCACCACTACAGCAGTAGCCTCAGCCATCATGCACTCAACTACATTGACACCACTCAACTGCATTGACACAAGGAGAGTCACCAGCAGAGGCCCAGGGAAAGAGGGGAACAAGTGCAGACCTACAACTCAGTGGCCCAACCCACAGGGGGAATTATGCTGCCATAAATGGTAACACACCTGGGGGGTGGGAGGTATATGTGCAGCCCATTCAACTGCCTTGATCTGGGGAGAGACACATGCAGAACTACCAGAGCATGCAGAAACCCAGGATACCCAAATAGAGTAAGGAAGAAAATTCCCAACCACCACCAACCCATCCCCCAACTGGAAGAAGCAAGGACCCAGGAGAAGCCTCTGCCTGTATAAAAGAGGAAAGAGAAACCCCAACCAGGGCCACCCATTCAAACTGAGAAGCTTCAATATACCCCAATGCACCCATAAGTGTCACTGGACACTAGCCAGGGTGCCAACAAGCCAGCTC